ATAAAAAAAATAAAAATAATTTTAATACTATTAAACAAATTCATACTTTTTATTATCAGTGTTAAAACTTTTTTAAAATAAATTTTTAATTTTAAATAATTACGAAATTTATAAAAACCAAATAAATTAGTCATTCATAGTACTTCCACCATTAATTTCCAACTCGAGTTGTTTTTCTCCTAAACACTTTTATTCTTATCCTTCTTTCATTTAAGGCATAATTAGCTTATATCCAACAATTTCATAAATGCAGGAACTCTCTAATGGACGCCATAGGACCAATCACAGGTATTGTGAAGGATGTTGTACCTACAGTTAAGAAATATGTCAAGTATCAGATATGTCACAATGATTATGCCAATGAATTCAAAGAAATGCAAACACAGCTGAAGCATCGACGGCAAGACATTGAAAAAGGACTGCATGCTCAGCTTATGCAGCCTGGGAAGATTGCAAAGGAGGAAGTTGAAGCTTGGCTAGAGAAAGCAGAACAAGAAACTGCAAAAAACATGGTTGAAGATCTAATCTGCAAAGGGGACTGTTTCACATATATTTGCTCCTCAAGAAAGCTCGATAAAAGGACTCAATCACTGACTGAAGGAATATTTAACCAAGGAGAAAGGTACACTAGTGCTGGTGACAGTTTGGTCGTAGATACTCCTTCAATTGAGTATTGGGCAACTGTATTTGAAGGAAGGCAAGAGCAGTTGAAGCTCCGATAGAAAGACATTGAAGCAAAATTGGAGACTCAACTTAAGCAGCCTGGAAAGATTGCAAGCATGGAAGTTAAAGACTGGTTGAATAAAGTAGGCCAACAAATTCCCATAAAGGTTGAAGATCTAATCAACCAAGGGGGATGCTCCTCTCTATCCAACCTCAGGAGAAAAATTGAAGAATTGAAGCAAATATTTGAGCAAGGAGAAAAATATACTAATGCTGGTGAGAGTTTGGTCACAGATGTTTACTTAAGTGAGCGTGATGCAACTGTATTTAAAGAAATGCAAGAGCAGTTGAAGCTTCGACAGAAAGACATTAAGGCAAAATTGGAGACTTCGCTTCAGCAGCCCAGAAAGATGGCAAGCAATGAAGTTAAAGACTGGATGGAGAAAGCAAGCCAACAGATTGACATAAAGGTTGAAGATCTGATTAGCCAAGGGGAATGTTCCTCTCCATCCAACCTTTGGAAAAAAATTGAAGAATTGAGGCAAATACTTGAGCAAGGAAAAGAATTCACTAATGCTAGTGTGATTTTGGTCATAGATGATCACTCAAAGAAAGGAGTTCCACTACTTGTTGAAGAATGCAGGGGCAGGGATGATATACAAGTTCAAATTCTGGAATGGTTGAAGGGAGATGAGGTTACAAGAATTGCAGTTTCAGGAATGGGCGGTGCGGGCAAGACAACAATTATGAAGCAAGTCCACAACCAACTCTTGAAAGAGCCCAAATTTAACGAAGTTAGTTGGGTAAAAGTGTCAAGAGACTTTGACATTATTGTCCAGCAAAAAAAGAAGTTTATATTCTCAAGTTTCAGAAAAGGATTGCAAGTAGCTTTGAACCACAATTGGAGCTAAGGGATGATGATAATGAAACCAAGAATGCAGGATTGGTTTCACAAAAGTTGAGGCAGGGCAACTCTGTGGTAATTCTAGATGATGTGTGGCAGCAATTTTGTCTAGAAGATGTTGGAATTCCTATTCTAGATGGAAATAATGGTTGCAAGTTAGTACTCACGACGCGGTTACAAGATGTTGCTCGTGCAATGGAGTGTGAGGTGATCTCTGTGAATCCTCTTCCACCTGAGGAAGCATTAGCATTATTCTTGGAGTAAGTTGGAAGTACAGTGTTGTCAGGTGGCAGAATTAAAGGAGATATAGATCCATTTTTGAAGCAAATTTCGCAAAAATGTAACGGAGTACCCCTTGCTATTGTGACAGTAGCCAAAACTATGAGAGGAAAATTGGATCCTCGTTTATGGAAGGGGACAGTTACTAAATTGAGCAAAATTGAAGGAATTATTGACTGTTTGAAATTTAGTTATGAATGCCTAGAATCACAATGCCAGGACTGTTTTTTATACTGTGCATTTTATCCTGAAGATTATGAAATGCCAAGGGAGGAGTTAATTGAGTGTTGGATTGAAGAGGGGTTTATATATAAAGAAGGGGAAACTAGGGACACAATGAATTGTGAGGGTCTTCTTTTGCTCGAGAAGCTGGTTGACAATTGCTTGTTGGGATTTGTTAAAGATAAATACAAGAAAGATTGTGTGAGTATGCATGATCTTTTCCGAGAAATGGCATTGGATATTAGGCCTCAATTTTTGGTGAAAGCTGGCATTGCCTTAGAAAAGGTACCAGAGGAGCATGAATGGGGAGAAGATCTTTTGAAGATATCTTTAATGAGGAATAACATAACAGAAATTCCTTCAAGCATGTCGTCTCCGAAGTGTCCTATGCTCACAACCTTGCTGTTGTCCAATAACAAGATTTCAACAATTCCAGAAGCTTTTTTTGAGCATATGCTTGGGCTCAAGATTCTTGATCTTTCCTGGAATAGGGAGCTAAGTAGGCTGCCGAGTTCTGTTTCCAAATTGGAGAAGCGCTGAATGGTTGTAATTCCTTAAGAGAGGTACCATCTTTATCTGACCTTGTAGGCTTGAAAAAGTTGAACCTTTCCGTAACATCAATTGAAGAACTACCCCAAGGCCTCAACACGTTAACAAATCTAAAATATCTTGGTCTTAGTGGAAGATTATCTAAAACACTTGATGAACCGCTGCAAAATCTCTCCAAACTTCAGCATTTACTAGTAGTAGACAATTTCTATGCCAAAACAAAATTTAAATGGGAGACAATTGAAGTTGCGGGAAGCTTCAAAACCTTGAGAAGCTGGTACTTGGTAATTTGGATAACTTGAATATGGTGTTTGGGGAAGTAGGAGCAATTGCTGAGTCAACACCGCTACTAGCTGGCACATTTTCTTCTCTTCAATTAGTGCTTGGAGATGTGAAAAAATAAAGAAGTTATTCTCAGTAAGGTGGTTGGGATATTTCCAGAAACTACAAACTATTGAGGCTTTTGAATGTGAGCAACTAGAGGAGATAATAGGGTCTGAAACTGAAGGAGGTGAAAAAGTCACTATACCCATGCTAAAAAGTTTGGAATTAACTGAATTGCCCCAATTGAAGAGCATCTACAATGGTTTTTTGATTTGTGATTCCATCAAGGAGATTAAAATTTGGGATTGCAAAAATATAGAGAGTGTTTTTTGGTCAGGGTTCAACTCACTTCCAAATCTTGAATATCTAGACCTTGGCTATTTAAAGAATTTGAAATCCGTGTTTGATGAAGAAGTTCTTGGTTTATCGCCACTTGTGCTTCCCACAAGCTTTTTCTCTCTTAAAGAAATTAGGGTTAAAAAGTGTCATCAGTTAAAGAAGGTATTCTATCTGGATGGCTGCTTCGCTACTTCCAATCTCTAGAGACTATCGGCGTACGAAGATGTAGGCAAATGGAGGAGCTGATATCGTCATCGGCACATGAAATCCGTGTTTGATGAAGAAGTTCTTGGTTTATCGCCACTTGTGCTTCCCACAAGCTTTTTCTCTCTTAAAGAAATTAGTGTTAAAAAGTGTCATCAGTTAAAGAAGGTATTCTATCTGGAAGGCTGCTTCGCTACTTCCAATCTCTAGAGACTATCGGCGTACGAAGATGTAGGCAAATGGAGGAGCTGATATCGTCATCGGCACATGAAGAAGAAACAGTCACTCTACCCAAGTTACAAAGCTTGCGATTGGGAAGTTTGCCCGAATTGAAGAGCATCTGCAATCGCTCCAGTGTGTTGATTTGTGATTCCATCCAGAGTCTAACGATTTCAGCCTGTGTAAAGCTAAAGAGGATTCCTCTGAATTCTTCCCAATCATCTTATCCTCCTTCCCTCAATGAAATTGTCGTATCCCCAAAAGAATGTTGGGAGTCAATGGAATGGGACCATCCCAATGCAAAGGATGTCCTTTTACACTTCTGTAAGTTTCTATCAAAGCCTGATGCCAATGAAGCATTCGAAGATTCTGATTATTACAGTTAAGAGAGTGAAGAGTCTGATGATATTGATGAAATCGAAGAGGAAGAACTTTGAGTAGGCTCTTTGGTGATAGGGCACATTGCAAATGTAAGACACTTCATCTTTATGCTTCCTTTTTCCTTTCTTTCTATCTTGTAAATCTCTCTCACAAGGCAGGCTCTTTGGTAATCTATTCATTTTCTTTTCTTCTGTCTCATCAATTCTTTTCTTCCCATTGGCAGTGAAATTGGAATTCGAATCCGTTACCACAAGAAAGTTGGAGGAAATCACATTTGCACCTGTTGCCGTTGCTCTTGCTGTTGGGTTTTCAATTTAATATAAACTTGCTATTCTTTGTTTTTCTTTTGCTGTGTCTATATTCTGTGTTTAAACATGTCAGAATTCTAAGTGGAAATGTTTATTTCTTTATCTTCTGTGTAACTTTTTCTTTGAAATGTGTGCAAAAAAGACTTGAAATTAATTAGGATCTATTTAATTTCTTTTGGTATTTATTTTACTGGATCCGCATCTTTGCTTTTCTTGTAATATGCATTTCAGTTGGTTGCATTTGCATATCTCTTCTCAAACTTCATTCAACATCATCATCATCATCAACAACTGTACCTGCACACTTTTTAATTTATCTTCTTAGAGTCACCAAAGATGGACTAGCATTCAGGTCAGACTATACACTCCTCTTCTTTTTGCCTTTTATTTTAAGAATTTATTTTATTGTATTTTTTGGTTCCAAGGTTTAAATATATGTCTGATTAGCTAAAGTAAATTATTGGTTAATTATTGTTATTTAAAAAATAATTACTTAATGACCATCCTTGGATGTTGCCTGGTTACAATTACATTTACCTGTGGGCAAGCTAACTGATGTAGGGCCAGAAGAAATAGAAAAGCATAAACTTGCTTAATAAGTGGTGCTCCACCACTGATGTTGATGCTGTGCTAGAAAAGCATGCTGGTGATGAGGAGCAACTGGATCACTACTTAACACAATTCAAATGGGTACTTTGGTAACAGTAAGAGCTCAAGTTTTTCCATGAAGAGCTCCAAAATGAGATGTCAAGTAAACTATAGTGTTACTTTGAAGGAGAAGAAACTGCCCTTGTCCTCTCAAATGACCTTAGGAAGGAATGAAGTTTAAATGTTTGGGCCTCAATTTTGTCATTTGAAACAAGCTGTGGTTGCTCTGCTTCAATATGAAATCCTGCCTCAGTTCAAGCATCTTTATTGGTAATTTATTTCAGTCTTTGACTGTCTATTAGAACAGATAATTCCACAGCTTTATTGAAGTTGCAAAATATAGTTTTGCCAGTGAATGGGAATCTGAATTCTCAAGGTACTCTTCCTTTTGCAAGAGGAGAGCACTATATATATGTCTAGATAATTATGATTTGTTTCTAGAATGCTTGCCTGGTAAAGTTTAAGTGTTGTTGAAAAATCCTGTTGTTCAGTCTTCTTATAACTAATTTTTGTCTGGTACATCTCTAAAGCATGCCAGAGTTCATCTTCTCTACACTGTGCCAACAGTCAGAACTATTGTCCAAACTATATGTCAATGGAGAAAGGATTCATCTATTACTCTGCATTGCTTGAATCTTCGCTGGGTTTTTTGCATCAATCTGACAACTTCTAGGTCTATAAAACTGCTTTCTCATTTAGGAATTTCCCTTTCCCTTATATTTTCCTTTAAGATCTGATGTAGATTTCTCTGCTTTTTATATAGAAATATTAAGACTTTAGAGCTCTCTTGGCCTCTCTGTCTCTGTTTCTCTACCATTCTACTCCTATTCTGATTTTCTCGGCATGCAGACAATGCTTAGATCCCATTAGGCAATTACAGTTTGTCAGGTATCCAATAATTAGCATATTTACCAGTCTTCTATATATTGCACGGGTCAACCATGGATTGATGATTTTTGTTATTTAAACCAGCTGTTTTTTATTCAAGACTTTTTGCTCATACATTTAAATCTATCTGCAAATTCACTAACATAGACATGAACATGATTGTATGCCTCAAATAGGATACGATTTGAAGTTTACCCCTTTTTAGGTTCACTCTTTTAAAAATTTTAATTGTGGAACTGTGAATCATGCATTACTTTTGTGCTGCCTGCTGCTTAAGTGAGGCTCTTTGGCAAAAAATCATATAGCTGCAGATGCACGCATATTGAGACAATTGCAGAGGGAACCTTTGGCACTTTCTTTGTCCTTTTTAAGTTTTTGCTGATTATTACAGTTTTGCTAATCATTTTCAATCCTTTCTTAATTGCTCTGTTTTTTCCATTCATTTTCAGTCCTAGCTTCCCTGCCTCGCATTTGACACCCAATTTTGATCTGTAGTCTCCACGTGCGCCCTTAAAGATGTCTGCTTTGGCCATGAACATATTGACTCGATTTCTTAAGGTGACTTCTTGGTTACATTTGAAGACTCTTGCTGTTTTTAGTTTATCATTGCTTTCTTTTTTCTGGGTTGAAATGTAAGGATTTGCTAATGCTGCTTAAAGGCCGTTAATTATTCAGATGCAGTTTTACTTGTGGTATTGAGATAGTGTATATGTTACACAACAGGAAACACTTGCAAATCTATCAATATGCTGATTAGAGGCAAAAAGGATCCTCTTGATTGTCTTCCCTGGAGTTGGTTACCAGAATGGTGACTCTGAAATAGATATTGTACCAAAAAGCATAGTAGGTGAGTTTAGTGAAACTGGAGATGTTTCAATGGGTTTTGCATGTTTATTTTCTATTCTTTTGTGTCGTGTAGTTGAATGTCAATTATTTTTGCCCTCTTCCAGGTACATGTCACAAATTTGGAGGATGCTTTTGAACATACCAGAGATGTTCTGAAGCATGTAAAGAAGGAACACTGGTAAAGAGCGTACAAGATAAAGGACTGTTCAATTGGGTGTGCTAAGTACCATGCCTGGATTTCTCATTGCAGAAGCTGCACCAATGGTTCTATGCTTGGATTTCTCATTGCATCTGGAAAATATATGATAGATCCAAATCAAGCTCTAAGAAAGCAAGTATAACCAATTGCTTGTCTTCACTTGATTCTAAAGTTCAGATTATTACTCAACGATAATGTGCAAGATGGAGTGGTTGGGCAGCCTGGTTTGAATTTGTACGCAAGAAAGGAACCGAAATCCTCATCGACAGAAATTCCCTTCTGCTTCTGCCATTTCGACACTATAGATTGTTCGATACTTATACCACCTGAAAAGATGGGAACATTTTTGTTTCTTGCCGAAGAGTAGGAGTGTTGAGTTAGTCAATTGATGCTACGTGCTACTAATTTCTTTGCAACTTGTAAGATATGTAACATAATCTTTCTAGACGAGCTAGGAATGGAAAATCAAGAACTTAAATCTATGCCCTATTTTTTTACCTAATCAGTGTTAATTAGATTACTCTCTCTCATTATCCCTTCTCATATAACTAATTATAAACTATTCTAGTTACAGCTCCCTATGAATTAGCTCCGAACTACTGTCTTTTCCTGGGGTACTCATTCTCACCAGAAGGGATATGGTTGATTAGATCTGGCAACTAATAAACTGATTATTTCTCCATATGCTTCCTTTGATGAAACAAATTAATTTTCCATACCAACAAATTACACAGCAAACACAACAACCCAGTCTACCCACATTTCCGTCCCCTTTTCATTTACAAGATAATTTTTCCTTCAGAACGAACCGGCCCAACACCATGTCCAAGCCCACAAGAAATTTGCACATCCAATCCACTTATCCCATTATCTAAAAGTGCATTTCGGTTGATGTGTGTACGTATAATTTGAAAGAAAATATGCAGTGTTCCAACATGATTGAAGATGTCCATACAAATTTTATTTTTGGGTATGCAATTATTTTAATCATGCAAATAACATGATCAAAGTTCATCATACAAACTTAGAGTAGTTCACTTCAATCAAATTAAATTAGTCTTAATTTAGAGGTGGGATCCCAAATTTGACAATACTAGCATTTTGGATTCCAAAAACAGAAGGCAATTTATTTTTTTGGGAATAAAAGAAATTAAAAAAAAAAGCAAAAGCAATAAGATAAGATGAACATGTCGATGGCTAGGTGTTGAATTTTTGGCAAGGGCAATAGTGCATTCAGGCCTATTGCGGGCCCAGTTGATGCTGATACAGGAAAATGTTAAGACAAAATCTTATATTAAATTCTTAAATTTACCACATATTTTTTTATTAAATTATTAAATTTTTATTAAAATAAATAAATTCTTAAATTTGTTAATTTAAACAATATAATTCTTTTCTTTACTATAGTATTCATTTATATCTTATCTGCATGAATAAAATTAATACTAATTAAGTAAATAATGACATATTAATATTTTATTTATATAAGTATTACATAAATAAGTATTAAGTTTACAATAAAAAAAATTAAATTATTCAAATAGTACTATTTAAGGGTTTATTTACTTTAAAGACCCAATAAAAAATTTAGGGTAATTTTGGGGCCTATCATAGGATTTGTCAAATGTTAAAGCTACATAGAATAGAAGTTAAAATTTTCTGTTGCAAGGACTAATTTTACTAAAATAAAAAATTAGTTTATTTTCATGCAAAATTTAATATATTGTTATGAAATTATAAAAAAGCCAAAGGAATAAGACAAGATAATCGTGTTTATGGGATGTGTTGAATTATTTGCAAGTGCAATAATGTAGGGAGCCCAATTGCTGATAAAGGAAAATGATAAAGCTACACAGAAGTTAAAATTTTCTGCTGCAAGGACTATTTTGCCCCTGTCATGA